GCTCAGTAGCCCATGCAATTGTCTTTAAAAAAAATGGATCACAAAACAAGTCTCAACAAATACAGAAAAGTCTCTTACATGTTACTAGTTCTGGTGGTATAAGAGCTTGTAGGATTGTGAAATCATGGGTCATGGACAGGAGCTGAAGCTTGACATTGGAAAAGGTCAGGGGGAACAACTGGTGAAGCTGCAGCTCAGTTTTCAGTGGAAACACCAGAGTCAAAGGGGTAAAGAAAAGAAGCTTGGAACTATGTGGCAAGGTGAGAGTCCCTGAAGAGAGGTCAGGAGGCCATTTGTGAAGGTGTCGCCTGTGGAGACCCAGCATATTGCAGATGCCAGACCATGAGATGACTACCGAGGACAGAAGCAGTTATGGAGTACAGCCAACCTAAGCACACAAGTCATGTGTGCTGCAGATGGCAGAACAAGAGAACTGAAGCTGCTCAAGCCATTTGGAGTCCAGAAGATGGTGACTAAATCCCGGAAATCGGACACTGAGGTATTTACACTGTTGGAGTTTGGCTTTGCTTTGATCTGATTTTGACTGTGTCCTGGTTCTTCATTCTGAGAGTAAGAAATTATTGAACTTATTTTTGATTTTACAGGAGGCCACACTAGAGAAACTTTGGATATTTTACAGAGACTAAACTTTTAAAGAACAGGGATCTTTTTTTTTTTTAATTTTAATTTTTATTTTGCAATACAATTCAGTTCTACATATCAGCCACGGATTCCCTTGTTCTCCCCCCTCCCCTCCCCCTCCCCTTCCCCCCAGGCCTCCCCCCCATTCCCATCTCCTCCAGGGCAAAGCCTTCCCCACAGACTGAGATCAACCTGGTAGACCCAGTTCAGGTAGGTCCAGTCCCCTCCTCCCAGGCCGAGCCAAGCAATCCTGCATAGGCCCCAGGTTTCAAACAGCCAACTCATGCAATGAGCACAGGACCCGGTCCCACTGCCTGGATGCCTCCCAAACAGATCAAGCCAATCAACTGTCTCACCCATTCAGAGGGCCTGATCCAGTGGGGACCCCTCAGCCATTGGTTCATAGTTCATGTGTTTCCATTCATTTGGCTATTTGTCCCTGTGCTTTATCCAACCTTGGTCTCAACAATTCTCGATCATATAAACCCTCCTCATTCTCGCTAATTGGACTCCCAGAGATCCACCCAGGGCCTAGTCATGGATCTCTGCATCCAGATCCCTCAGTAGTTGGATGAGGTTTCTAGCACAAAAATTAGGGTGTTTGGCCATCCCATCACCAGAGTAGGTCAGTTCGGGCTGTCTCTCGACCATTGCCAGCAGTCAGAACAGGGATCTTTTCAAGTGTGAATGTTGTATAGTGTGATATTAATGTTAATATGAGATCCTGGAGATAAACAAGAAAGGAAAAGACATTGTCTAATAGTGTTGTATTGGTGTGTCAAGTTGACAAAAGGGGCCAATTGTCTCAATTAGTTTTTTGTCAACTTGGCACAAGCTAGAGTCATACAAGAAGAAGAGCCTCAACTGAGAAATGCCTCCTGTAAACTGCCTATAGGCAGGACTGTAGGGCACATCCTTGATTAATTATTGATGTAGAAAAACCCACTGCGAAAGATGTCACCCCTAGAGGGTGGTCCTGGATTGTATAAGAAAGCAGGCTGAACAAGCCATGGGGAGCAAACCAGTAAACAGCTCTCCTTCTTGTGATTCAATGAATGTCTCAAGGTTTTTGCCCTGAGTTACTGGCCTGATGGTTACTCAATGGTGGACTATTATGTGCAACTATAAGCTAAATAAACCCTTCCACCCAAGTTGCTTTTGGTCACGGTATTTATCACAGCAGTAGAAAGCAAACTAGGGCATGTTTTCAACTCACCCTTCCTACATTGGTCAGACTTGGCCCTGAACGATGCACGGTGTGTGTGTGTGTGTGTGTGTGTGTGTGTGTGTGTGTGTGTGTGTGTGTGTGTTGATGAAGAAGATGAAAAAAATGGAAAGTTAAGTAGTTTATATGCAAACTATTAGTCTGCAACATATATTCATTTCCTCTCTTCTCACTTAAAAAACCCTACCCAGAAAAATTTGTATTTGAGAAAGAAAATGACTGCTTTCTTAAATAATGACAAATGGTTTGACACACATAAATCTGATCTCTGGAGACAAAATTATTTATCAATTTTATTACCAAGCCCTGGGAAACTTGATATGAGGATGTCCTAGGTTGTCTTCTATTGTTGTGGTAAGATGCTGACCAAAACCAACTTGGGCAAGAAAGGATTACTTCATCTTACAATTCTGGATCACAGTCCATCAGGGAGGGAAGTCACATCAGAAACTCAAGGCAGAAACCTGGATGAAGGAACTGAGGCAGAAGGCTTGGAAGAATGCTTCTTATTGGCATGCTCTCCATGATTTGTTCAGTTATCTTTCTTATAAAACTCAGGATCACTTGCCCAGTATGGCACTTCCTACAATGGGCTTGGTTTTCCCACATCAATCATTAACCAAGAAAATGCCCTATAGACTTATCTACAGATCAACCTGATGAAGGCATTTTCAGTTCTTTCTTCTTAGATGACCATAGCCTGTGTCAAGTTAATAAAAACCAATGGGCACAATTGACCCATTATCATCTTGACACACTATTAAACCATAACCTTTACTTTCTTATTTTTCCAAGATTTTGTGTTAATATCACAACACAAATCATAATATTATTTTAAAAGTCCTACTGTCTTCTTAAAAATTCAAATACTTTAAAATTTCAGTCTCTAAAATATTCTATATTTAAAAGACTAGTGTTTCAATTGTGGGCTCCAGTAAAATAAAAAATGAGCTACATACTTTGCATTTTAATCAGGAAGAAACAGAGCACAGTTACTATCAAATAAAAGCAAAACAACCATCTAGCAAGTTTTGGGGCTTTAAAAGGCTTGAGCAGCTCTGCTTCTCTGGCTCTGACTTACATAGCACACACAGCTTGTTTCATAGGCTCAGGCTCTCCACTCCACACCTGCTGCTGTCCTGAGTGTTCATCCTACAATTTGGCATCATTGATATTCTGGATCTCCACAAGTTGTACCTTCACCAATGACCTCCTGGCCCCTTATCAGAGATTCTGACCTGCCACATGGTTCCAAGCCTCGATTCCTCTCCATGACCCCTTCAATATTTGGGTTTCTATTGCAACCAGGGCTTATACATTTATTTACCAGTGACCTCTACAGTGCCATGTCTCAGTCATTCTCCATGATCCTGTTATTCCTGAGGTCTCCCTTGAAATTATAGCTGTACCTTCACCAATGGCCTCTCCTGTTACCAAGTTTCAGTTATGCTCTATGACTTCCCTTCAGTCCGGCAGCTCCCAAGTCATCAAAACCAATAAAACAAAGGAGACTCTTACACATTACCAAGTTCACCTGCCAGCATGAGATTCAACCTTGACACCATCTGGAACATAAGTCTGTGTGTTGATCCTGAGGAAATACTCCAGATTTCATCTCAATGTTTCTGGTCTCTTATTAACCATAGCTAATTCTCTCAGTGCCATCTAACTAGCCTCCAGTGTCCCAGTAAAGCAAATATTTCATATCAGAGATCTTAGTCTTTTCTTAAACGAAACTGATTTTTCAGCCCTACCTGACCAGAATCACAGATTCTTCATTCAAAATATCAAACAAATAGTGTTAACGGAGTCTTTTGAGACTCCCAAACTTCTTTCTGAAACTTAAAAAGCCAGGCTGCCACCATTTTCGTTGCTCTCGGCATTATCTTCTAAGTTCCTATAGCAGTCTCAGTGGCCCAAATTTCTAAACATTTCTGCAACCCTACCAAAAATAACATGGCAAATTCTTCAAAGTAATAAAGTCTTATGATCCTTGTACTTGTTTTTAGTTTAGCTGGGTTTCCATTGCTATGAAATAACACCATGATCAAAAGCAACTTGGGGAGGAGTTTATTTCAGGGTACAGTTTATAGTCCATCTTGAAGGTAAGTCAGGGCAGGAACTCAAGGCAGGGACTGAAGTGGAGGCCATGGAGGAACCCTACTTATTCCTTTATAGTCTGCTCAGTTTGCTTTCTTACACAACTTAGGACCATCTGTCAAGGGTGGTGCCCTACAGTGTAGGCTGGGGTCTCCCTTATCAATCATTCATCAAGAAAATGTCCCACAGATTTTCCTACGGCCCAATCTGATAACAGGCATTTCTCCCAATTGCAGTTTCCCTTTTCCAGATGATCCTAGCTTGTGTTAAGCTGACAAAAAAAAAAAAAAAAAAGAAAAGAAAAAATAGCCAGCACAGGTTGGTGTAGATTTTAAGAGAAGGCAATGGGTTTCTGGGGTACCTGTTAGAAGTTCTCATTGAAATAATTTGTAAAAGCAGGTTGGATACATTCTGGAAGAGGTGACTCAGACAAAGAATCATATCATTTAAGAATAAAAGTCAATACTCTCCTCGCAGTGCCTACAGTGAATAACAAGGAATTCTAGAGAGAAGTCATGTTCAGAACACCAGACTTTTAAAGTTATTACCAGAAAAAAAGAGATTTTTTACTAAATTTTTTTTGAGTTGGGGCAAAAGAAAAAAAAATGAAATACTATCCAGTGAAACTGTCAGTGTAATTTCAGTTACCAAACACGTCCACTTCTCTTATCCCCACTTGAGGCTACATACAACACCATAAGTCCTACTACCAACCCTTAAAATGCAGAGGCAAGTCTTTGTGGTTAATGAATATTTAAGCACAGAATTTCAAAGCTCTTATTCTAACAAGAAATATGAGAGCAAACAGGGCAGGAAGTAGAGGCACTGCAGACAATTGAACTGATGGCTGAGTGGGGGCCAAGGTCAGAGAAAAAAGGGGGAAAGATTCATAGCTCTCAAAGACAGAGGAGCAGTCATTCACCCATACATCTTTCACTCTATCCTTATATCCAGAGAGAAGCCACTTTGTTAGGAAACAAAATTTATTTTTGAATATTTTGCAGTAGAAGTAAAACCATAGCTTGAAACTTACATTTCATTTGCTTGAAGATGGACTTGTTTGGTTCTAGCCAGTGCTGGGGAGAAAACAAAAACAAAACAGAGATTGTTGGTGTGAATGAAAACTCTTGAAAAGAAACTGTCTGCAGAAACTAAATGATCAGAACTGCAGTACTGTGGATAGATTGCAACATTACATGTCCAGAGGCTAATTATCTTACATTGGGCTAGTTCTAGACCTATAGAACAGCCATTCCTTGCCTGAATTAAGATTTTTCTGAGTAATAGATAAAAACATTTTAGAATCTATTAACTTAGCAGACAACCAGCTTTCACCAATCCAAAAGCTAAGAATGGTATCAGACGGCATCAGACAGCATCCTGGGCTTATGGAAAAGCTTCCCTTATCTCGTTATACCTGCCCCTCTGATGTACCCATGAACGGATTTTTGAAGAGTTAATGATGTAAAACCCTCAGGCAAACTGAGAAACTCTGGACAGGAATGCTGACTTGACTGATAACATCTGTGGAAGTTTCTGTTGAGGAGATCAACAGTCTAATAATCCCCTGACCCCAAACTGGTATCTGCAACTCTGAGCCTGCAGGGAACTGACCTACAGATGGAATTTTCCATACCCAAAGTTCCCCAATCAGGATCAACTTAGTTCTACCCAGAGATGTTAGGCTTCACTCCTCAAACCTTGGCCAGGGACATTCTACTTGCTTGGATACTACTGGAACTCCTAGGCCCTAAATATTCTCAGAAAAACCACGAATAGCCCACAGTCAACATCTGCAAGTTCCATACCCTCCATTCCCTGAGATAAGCGTGCGCCAAAGGCTACTTGAGGGCTCAATCTCTATTCCAGCAGAGTGATTTGTTGTCCTTTATTGTTCTAATTAAAGGATGGTCTGCTTCTGTTGATGGTGGAGCTGTGCTCTCATTTCTTTCTTTTCTTTTCCTTCTTTCTTTTCTTTTCTTTTTTCTTTTTTTTTTTGGTTTTTCAAGACAGGGTTTCTCTGTTTAGCTTTGCGCCTTTCCTGGAACTCACTCTGTAGCCCAGGCTGGCCTCTAACTTACAGAGATCTGCCTGGCTCTGCCTCCTGAGTGCTGGGGTTAAAGGCGTGCGCCACCACTGCCCTGCATGTGCTCTCATTTCTTATCCAGATGTTATAGTCCATTTGAATCTAACACTTTGGAAGACAGTGAGGGATTTCAACGAGGTTCCTCCCCTAGTTGACTGCTTTCTTTCTCTTTCCCTTCACTCTCTCCCCCTCTCTCATCTCTCCTTTTATTATACACCTTGTGAGTCCTCAGCACTCCAACCTCACTATGGGCTAAAATGCCTCTGCCCAGGTGAGTAGGGCAAACCCCAGAGATTCAACATTTCCCTGTTTGGGGGAGTTTATTGACTCAAGGATTAAACTCAGTTTTTGTCTCCTTTCCTTTCTTTCCACTCTTGGTCTAATTCTGTTGCCCCTCTGACCTCCAGAGTAGAGCCTTTTCTGTCATTCAACCATACCACATCCAACATTCATACAGCAAAGTAAGGATCAGATTCATTCTAAGGGTGCTCTGGACGGATACCATCACCTAAGCCTATGTGGTCCTTCAGCCTTGCCTTCCAGGTCACTAGAATTTTGAATTCCAGGGGTTCTTTCAGCTTCCCACCTTTGGTTTTGCTGCCAGGTCTCTAGAATTGGGAATGCCCATTCCAGTCCCCACTCACTCATTTACAGCTATGTTCTGGTTACGGCAACTTATTACCGGAAAGGAGCCTCACACTTATCTTGCCCAAGATCGTTACCATTCTCACACACTTTGGCTTGCCTGAGGACAAAACTCAAGGTGTTAGTATACCTGTCTACTGAGGTTTGTACTTACGACAACTTGGAAATACTTTTGACTTTCAGAGTCTCACTGACTCAAACAACTTCACATGACAGAATGACAGAAGATGACAAGTGTTCCCCACCTCACGAATGTTATCTTTACTCTAGTCCTTTGCTTTGTTCCTCCATTTCTGTACTTTTACCAGCTTAAACTTCTAAACCCAGTTCCCTAAACTCTCTTGGATGCTAACAGTAGAGCAGCCACTGTTGTCAAACTGTCATGTGCTGGTTAAACTGAGAAGCTGGCTCTGGGATGTGGGAGGAATTTGGCCCTCCTACTTCAGACTCAAGTATGTTTTTCTTAGAATGTTCTCCAAATCTCTGGAGTCAGACTGGCCTCCTGACTGTGATAGGGAAAAGGAGAACAAAACAGCCCAAGAAATACAGATTCACAGATCCCAACAGGGATAAGCCACTGCCAGTGAAGAGCCACCATAGGAGGCTCTGCTGAGTGTCAATGCCTGCCATTTCTGCCTGGGGTCTCCAGGCCCTTTATCTTCTAAGATAAGATGTCTCCTGCCCCCAGTACTCCTTTGTTCCACATGTATTTACTTTTGTTTCTGCCCAATCTAACATGTATTTGCTCAAGATATGTATGCTCAGTTTCCCTTTCACAATGAGGAGTGTAGAAAACATAATACAAACAAACAAATAATGCTCACAATCTTGGTTTACTAGTATATGTCTTACGTGTGATTATGTATATATTGATTGTCTGTCCACACATGATTATGGTTTGTTCTTTCACAGCATGTACTTAGGACAAAATTGACTTAAAAGTAAATGCTCATGTAAATTAAGTTATTAACTTCACTCCATTTCATTTTCTTTACATAGTAAAACTAAAATTAACAACAACAATAATAATGACTTAGCAAATTAACTTATAAATATGCTCCTAAATCTTTCTTTGGAACAATTACCATAAGGCTTCTAAACTAAAAAAAATTATTTATTTATTCTTCTCTTATACATTACATCTAAACCTCAGTTTCCCCTCCCTCTACACTTCCCAGTTCCCCACACCACTCACCCTCTCCCCTAGATCTACACCTCCTCCATTTCCCTTCAGAAAAGAGCAGACCTCCTAGGGATATCAACCAAACACATCACAATGAAGTTACAATTAGACTAGGCACAAACCATCATATCAAGGCTGGTTGATGCAACACAGTAGGAGGGAAAATGGCCCCAAGAGCAGGCAAAAAGAGTCAGAGACACGCCCCACTCCCACTGTTAGGAGTCCAGGATAGACATACATAATCATACGGCCAAAACGTTATCTCCTTGATCCTTATCCTAATTCTGGTTCTGACAAATGTATTTTTCAAAGATTCAGTAGAGAGAGCTTCTGTCCCATCTTCTGAGGTACATAACTAACATCTTCACACTTTTAATTATGCTGGCATAAAATAATGGTAAATGTTAATACTCTTTCACAAAAGAGCCTAATAGTCCATCTCAGCCAATTTTATATAGACAAAAGGCTAAAATGAAAATGAGGGAGATCTATTTATGTGACTATGAAATGTCCTACCTCATACATACAAAGTAAAGACTTTTCAATGTGACTGATTCGGGGGACACCCACACTGCCATCATTACCTCTTTACCAACTTCCTGTCAGTAAGCCTATAAATTCCCTAGGGTTAACTTTGATGAAATTAAACTTTGGTTTGTCATTTGAACCTTATAAAGTGGGAATAGACATTGTTTTGTCTCTCCCCCAGGGAGAAAATTCTCCCAACAGATAGTAACTCATTTTTTAAATGCTATTGTCTTATGGTATTAAGAAACAAATATAAATGTTATATAACATATATGTATCAAAGTTTATAAGCTCTAAGATCAGCAGCTATAAAAAAAAACTGGCTAAAATGTATATTGAATCAATCAAAGTTAATTGAGACATATTCAGCTATCAGAACATTAATTAAACAGTAGTTGGAAGTCCAGATTGGTATAAGTGACTTTCTGTAAGTTTAATATCCATGCTTGGAGGATACTCTATTGTGGTCAGAGGAAATAAAAGGGAGAATGTTTTCACCTCTAAGATCAATAAGGTTCCAGGGGACTGTGGGCCATTTCTAGAAATGTTCTCACCCATTCTCTTATTCAGGGAGAATTGACTCAGTGAAGTCTAACCAGCATTCACTCTACAAAGAGGAGGGTCAATACAGAGGAAAGATTTCCTCAGTGCTTCCAGGGGAAGTCATAGGCAGGCTAAGCCAAACCTTTGACATATCCTCACATAGATGGACAACTAGGAAGAAAGGCTCGAGGAGTCAGGGATTCTTCATAAGCCCAAGTGACCCCTAATGACTGGATCCTCAATTGATCCTAACAGTACAAAATCAAAAAGAACAAACTAAGAAAACCAGGAAATATAAATAAATAAATAGATAAATAAATAAATAAATGAAATAAAACCAGGAAAGTATAACCAAGATTAAAATGATCAATATGCTTTTTAACAATTCAAGGGACTACAGTCCTCAGATATTATACTAAATCATATGAAATGTGATTTGGACAACCAATTGTCACTAAATAGTCCTCTTCCTGATTTCACACACACACACACACACACACTCACACACATATACATATTCAAGCCCTATTTCTTGACTATTATCTGAGTAGGAATTATAATATCCTAACAGTCTTATCTTTTGTATGTTATAGATGCTACCTCTCTCACACTATAAACTCCAAGAATACATGTCATCACATTGCGGTCTCATGTTCTGGATATTTGCCATCTGTCAAGTTCTGTTATTGCCTCTCTCTGATATACACTAACTGTTGCCCTTTCTATATGGCCCCTTTTGTCAGCTCAAAGCAATTAACAGAGATCTGTGCCCCCAAACCTCTAAAAGCATATCAATTAACTTCAAAAAAGGGAACTAATGGACTACCCAACTCACCCACTCATCTTGCCACTCTGGGTGTTGTTTAATACCCAGAGCTAAGATCAGAAACAGCTGCCCTGAAGCCTTCTCTGTGTCAGTTAACCTCTCTGTTGCACTAGCTCTCAGAAAATTTTAAACAAATTTAAGATCAGCTAACATCTTTCAGAATCAACTCAATTCTTTGGCTGCTGCACTAACTCCAAAAATTAAAGAGAACAAGATCTGACTAGAAAAAAAAAATCCTTTAGGAAGGATACTTGGTTCACCCAGG